CTTAAAAAAAGGAGAATGTTGAATTTATAAGTAGTGAGTATTAAAAGTTTAAGTTGAATTATTTGAACTAATAGACATAATACAGTATGTTAGAAACTGTATATGTGAATGTTGTTTATATATATTAAATACTTGCTAAATCATTTAAGTAACATGATAATAATAATAAATAAATAAAAATGTCTGTAATCGAGGGAATTTCACACCTTATTCTAGCATCAGAATTTATTAAGCTTTAGAAATGACTCCATTTATTTTTCTTACTTTGACCTTATTTTAATCAAAGCTTTTATTAATGCTTTTAGTTGTTTACAAAATTGATAGTTATACAAATATCTATTTCAGAAAACGTTTTATGATTTTTAGTGAGTTTAATTTTACTATAAACCAAAATAAAAACCTCTTTTCTGAGTTAAAAAGCTAATAAATGTCGTTAGCTATTCCTTTTAACTTAGTTTCAAGAATTATATAAACTCTCAAAATACCATGTTCATTTTTAACTTTTATTTCTCTTGTAAAGAATATTATACAGGCATTTATTTCGACTTCGATATTTCATTTATTGCTGAAAACCCACACTTGTACTCTTTTTTATTTATTTATTGTCAAGAAAGATTTACTTCCTGCCGTCTTTGATATTTTGGGATAAAGTGAAATACATAGAAATTTATTCATTGCCTTCCTTGTTATTTCGAAACAATGTGAAACAAAGAGAATTTTATTCGAAATATTTCTTAAAGACCTCCAAACAAAGTATGTTTAAACTGAAGTAAAAGAATTCTCCTTATACTTTATTTTTTTTTTATCTAAAAGCAGTTGTTAACGGGTAAAGCTATTATTACTATCCTTTTTCAACCTGACTTAAGTTAAAAAAAATTTTAAATACAAAATAATGCCACATAAAACATTGTTCCATGAAATACTAATAACAATGGGATAATTACTTCATAATAATAGTATAATTACTCCAAGAAAATATCATATAGAAGGTCATTAATTAAATTATTAGTAATAATGATATAATTACTCCATAATTAGAAAGAAATAACAAATATTGAGCACTTAAACAGCAACATCTATTATGTAATTTGAATTGCACTTTAAATTTCATGTAAGAAACGTTGTTCAAGTATTATTTAAAAAGATAAAAAATGTCCCGTATGTGCATTGTATTGCATATAAATATGAAGATATTAAATATTTTCTGAATCTAGCAATTTCTCGAGAACCACAATTCAATATCTTAAAAGCTGTTAAAATTAAACTAGTTAATAGTCATTAATAGTCAATCATTTTATTACGAGAAATTGTTTAGCTTCTGAAAATTAAATTCGCAGACGTTATTGTATTGCTGTGCTTTAATTTGTAAACATCTCAGAAATATCAGTTTTCGATCTCAAAAACTGCAGATGGAAAATTTAATCTTTTAAATCCCTTCTATACATTTTTTTTTTCTTTATTGAATAAGAAACGGAAGTGTAAGAGATTTTTTTAGGGGGGGGATAACTAGAGCCACAGGTGAAAAAACGGCAATTAAATATACCTTTAATCTTGTATTTAGAATAGTGAATCTGAATATCCGAAATATTGACATATGTTACAGATATTATATCATTTCTACGCACTTGAAAGTGCATTTTTTCCCATGCACATGTGTTTCGTTTCCCACGATCATTATCACAGTATTTGCAGACGCTGTAAATGTTTATAAGGTGTTTGTCTGCCTCATTTGGACTTGTAGCTTCAAGTGAAGAATCATGGGTGAGTGTCTTGAAAATACTTTTACTTTAGATGTCATGAAAGAGTTCGAAAATTTATTACACAATCGTGTATTGTAAAGGGGATTTTGGGAGAAATTTAGAGTTGAATTAAAAGACAATATTTGTATGCTAATGCAGCTAATATCGGTCTTCTGATTTGTCTTCTGGTGACTAATATTCCTTGTTGGAACGTTAATGAGCAAACTTGCTCATTCATTTGCTTTACTTTATGTAAATTAATCGTTGAAACGTTTTGACATATGTCTTTGTATCAAATCACTAATTTTCCTCAAGTTAATATTTGTAAATTTTCTAACATTTTACTAATATAAATATAAATATTTTATTAATGTAAATATTTGTAATTTGTAAATCATTCAATATATGAAGGAATTACTGCGCACGTCATAAAAGGTAACGATAAAATAAGGATGGTAAAAGCGAAACAATGTTACATAGAGTTTTTTGATAACAAATGTGTGTTTGATAATATGCTTTACCTTTTTTTAATTTATGGTCTCGCAAAAGCCAAGCTGTGTTTTCAAGTATAGTGCAATAACTTAAACTCGGGTAAATACTTTTATTTCTCAGTAGTTTACACATCAGATACAAGTAGAGAAGCAAAGATAAAGAAAAGTATTCATTATAACTGGCTTTTAAGATTTTATTTTTCATTTTAAGGAGCAAAAGCCAATACATAGGAATCAGTTTAAAGCTTAATTTGATGTCCTACTTATAGACTAATATTTTTTCTGTTTGCTTGCAGATTTGAATTTTGAATTAATTGATAATTTTGAATCTTGGAATAATATTTTGGTTAGGCTAATTAAATGTATCTTTAAACAAACATAATAATATACAAATTTTCTTAAATTGCACCTCGAAAATATACTTAAAGTTTTAAAATTAATTAATTAAAAGGATCAGCTGCAATATAGTCATGTTAGTTTTATACCACTCTGAAAAGCGGAACATTTATTGATTGAAAATATTTGATTTCCGTAATTCTTAGACCTTGCAAAACATTCACATAAATGAAGAAAGCTTAGCTTAAATAACAAGATTAAGTAATACTTAATGTGAGTATATAACATCCATCATATCACACCACTAGATATATTCTAAGACGGAGTTCTAACATCAGTTAACGATTGATTAATATAGAAGATTAGTGGATGGGTATTATTTGGATCTAAATCTGATTAGTGTTGATTACCAAGTTGCGTTTCCCATCAGTGATGTGATTTAGCACTCGCACTTGAACATATAATTCAAACCAATTTTTAATTTGAGAAAAACGTCTTTAGTGAATTCGAGAAATTTCTTGAACAAGCTTTATAATTAAATACGCAATTCTCAAATTTTATTATAAAATGCCAGAGAATTAAGCATCTTTTCAGTGGAAAAGATTATTAGTTTTTATTATTGTTTTACATTTCTCTCTTAATGGAAGATTTGATGTTTAACTTAACCAATACAGGCCTGAAATTTCTGCACAAGTATTGAGATTAGTAGCGGAAAATCTGATTATATAATAGAAAATGTCTTTATGCCAAAGCTATACCTTCTGCGCAAACTTTTGCATATTTTAGAAGAGTAATTTTACACGATTTCGGGTATTTACTTAGTATTGTAAAATGCAGTAGTATAATTTATTAACTTGATTTGCAGTAATATTAATTGTTAAGAAGTTATATCTGAGCAGATGTTGTCTTTAAGATTATTTACAGATTATTTATAAAACTAAATTCTTTATCAATTCTGTATTTCTTGATTTAGGATAAGTTAAAATTTAAAAAATGGCAAAAGTGTTAGTCACGATTAAGTATAAATTAAAAATTACATTTCTAGTAAATTTTATGCAAAACAGAAATTAATAAAAATCCCTCTTATAAGGAATTATCGCATTTCCCTGGCTCTGTTTCGTAGTGAGGTGTTTAGCTCGACCAGTTGACAACAAGAAGATCCCTGATTCTAATCACAGAGCGCACACAGTTGATGTTTTATGTTTCCCGTGTTCAGGAAATCTAATAATCTGTATATATTCATCTTATTACTCGTTTGTTGGTGCAGTATATCTCAGAGAAAGCCATAATTATTTTGCAGCCGCCTATATAGTGATAGCAGAATTTTATGATTTACTAGAAAGAAACACCATAACATCTGCTAGAAAAACCCATCATAAACATCATCCCATGTACATATCTGAGGTACCGGTACCCAATATACCATTTTGCTTCGCAAAAGTTCTAAAGAGAACAGAGCAGTATATGTGTCAAGCGAGTGGTAACAGCATAACATCCGTGCTTGATTAGGTTTTTTCTCTGTGCGAAACTGGGCGTCATGCTCAGTATAAACAACATCTTATTTGCGATGAGGAAATTTGAGCTCTTTTTTAAAATTTTGTAACATTCGCTATCACACTGATTAGGCTGAGATACAGGAAAAGAGACTGTGGGTAAATTAAATATATTTTTTAATAGTTACATGTTTACAGCCACTTGCAGAAAGTTTGAAAATGTTGAATGAAATTATAAACACACAGAGCTATTGAAATTTATCTCAATGAAAAGTGAAATATGCAATTGTTTTAATTCTTTAACTCCTTAATATAAGTAAATGTTTACAACCCACCGCACTTGCAGTTATCTCTGAAACAAAATAACTTAGACAGAAATCAGTAACTCGAATTATGCGTTCATTAATTTTCTTTTTACGCGTTAACAACCACTTAATGTGACAAGAGAGGTTAAGCTAATTCAGAAATCGATTTTGATTTCATTACTGTACGGAGTAGTGCAAATTATCCTTTTTCCAATGGCTTATCAAATTAGTTAACCGAGGAAATGGAAGTTTGAAAATTTTGGGAGTTTTCCTGAAGTCTATCAACACTCTATCAGACACAAACAGGGCTCCTCTAAGTACAAAAACTCTTTAACCGCATTTCACTTCTTTCGAGACTGTATATTACTATCATTTTAACTGACTTTTCTTCTATGTCAGTTATGACGATGTCAATATAACTATTGCTATTTCGATGAAATAACAAATAAATGGATTTAATATAACCGTTTTATTGTTTTTTTTAACAGTTTCAGCTGTTTTCAGAGTCATTAGTATATCTATATTTTTTGACCAATATCTACTTTTATTTTCTAAATTTTGCGAGTGATTTATTGACGCTGTACCCTAAAGGCTATGCTTAAAATATGAAGGCAAATTGCAAGGATATTTAAGAAACAAATGAATGTAGAAATGCCTGAGAAACTTCCGAAGACATGGCCAGAAAAAACTCTGTTAATAATTAAAAGAGGTTTGTATTCATTTAAACTTAATATGAACTTAGAGCAAAAGAAAAAAAACCAAAGATGCTGTGAAGTAGTAAATGATGCCACCATTCTTGTGCTAAAATAGTTTTCGTATAAATTCAAACTTTAAAGTTTAGAATCTCTGAGACTGTTTCCTATTTGAATGCTAAGAAAGTTTCAAAAATTTCCATACTTGAATTAAAACTGGAACCCATCGAATCTCTGATGATACAGTGAAGCAGTTTGAGAAATTTAAGCGGTATAGGGGTTAGCGTCGTTGACTGCGTGCCGAAGGGCCCGGGTTTGAACCCCGGAGGATTCGAACCCCGGGCATGAATTATAAGGCATGCATGTATGTAAATGTATAGTGACGGAGCGGCATGGCGACACTCTATATGCAGCTAGTCGAAATTCCTCTCGTGCGGTTTGGTGGAAGGGGAGAGGGGTAGGAGTCACTCGGACCCGTCCCCCGGGGACCTCTCCATCAAAATTGGGGACGGAACTGAGCCAAATCGCACTTTCACCTGTTAGGTGCTCAAGGCTGTTGCTAACCACAGACGTAATCTAGCGCTCCTCGCCACGAAGAATTTCGTGGGTTATATGTGAACATAAGCAACAACATTTATTAAAGTAAACGAACTATTTTTGAACTATTTAAACTAAAGCATTTACTGTCTATCTGTACGTATAGAAGACAGAGAGTTTAAACGATCATAAAAATAACCTTTATAATTTCTGACAAGTGTATAAAATGGAGAATTTAACAGTGGTGAAATAAGAATTTTCAGGCCCCTATAGAAACGATAGAAATTTACGCTTTGATAAATTCTCTATAATAATGTTTAAAAACCGTAAACCATGGGTTGTTTCTAGAGTCTTGGTAACATAAAAACTCTCTCGAAACAGAGGTAAAAATTATATGTATTTTAAGTACTTATTCCATAACTAGCAGTAAAATTCTCATTTGTTATTATGCTGTTTCTAAGAAAGTTTTATGCTTATTTCAACTTACTTAGAGTATACAAAATAGCCTTATCAGGAGTGACAATATCACGCTTAGTGATCTGATTTATAACAGTAATTTCAAAATAAAATTTCCTAAGATTGCTTATTATTTGAAGATGCCAGAAATTTTTATGAGCTAACTCCCAGTATTGTGAGTAGCTGGAAAATCAGTTAAAAGCCGAGATCTAAAGTTTTTTTGTCTTGTTATTTCATTGCCAATATATTATATAAGGTATCGCATTCAGTATTAGTACTCGTCAAATTTTCATTGAGAGTTTAGTTTAGAATTCAATGGTTGCTTTCCTAGGCTTTATGGTTTTTGGACAGTATTTAAGAACATTGCTTAATATGAAGTTTCCGTATACTCAGTCGGTTAGTATGGATTTCATTTCCTGAAATCATTTATGATATATTTTTCAGTTAATTAAGTGAGCCAAAGTTGATGTCGTTATTAACTCTGATCAAAAGTGCACTGTAATGTTTTGACGCAATGCTTACGAAAGCAATGTATCCGTTGAATCCTTATCATAAACACATCTTGCACAATATTTTTTGCATGAAGTAACATCTATTACAAGAATATTAGGTTTAAAACAATATCAGAAATTTCACTCTGATAATTAAGATTTTATGAGCGTCTGTGTAGTACCTTTCAGTAAGAACAAAATATTATGTTTAGGCGAATAATAATTAGAAATGCTTTAATCATTTCATTTTCTTCAAACATGCTTGATGGAAGAGGACAAATTGTTTGTCGAATTCTGTTGAGGAGAGGATTGACTTAAAATTCAGTTTGAAGTTTTCCGATGCAAGTGAAGTTAATAATTTCTCTGTTATAAATAGCAATACCTATGTACCTATGTATGTATCTAATATGTAATAATAAAATAAATAATTTGTCAGCAATGAGACAACTCGAAGTAACAGCACAGTTTAGCTGTTTAGGGTGCAGAGTAATCGAACTGACAAACTAGCTGTTTTGGATCGTTTTCGAAACTTTAATAAATATTTCTTAAACTTATGTTGTTAAATGTTCCTTTCTTTCCATTGTTAAATATGTCTTGAAATTACTTCTGCTTCCTGATTACGAAAATATGCTCTATATATTAAAATAAAATCGAAATTTTCTATCGAGTAATTAGATGTGAAATTTGCAAATTAAATAAAGAATTTGACGCGGGCGATATTTATCTACCCAGTTAATCTTCTTATATAGAAGCTATTGAGGTTATTAAACAAAATCAGTGTATATAGTAACAGACTTTCCCTTCCCGCCCCCCCCCCGAAAAAAAAGAAAAAGAAAAAACTACCTGACTAAAGCATGTGATTCATCAATAAATTCGTGATACCTGCAAAAACTGAAGCCATATAATTTTATTCTGTTCTGAAGACTTACAGAAAATACTTAGCATGCTAATGCTTTCAATGTATACAAAACGTGTAACATTTATAAACTGCCTTTACGAGCAACAGTCGAGAAAATCCTAAGAGCAATTAATGTACACTCTTCCGCTTCTTATTTCACACAAAAATGAAGCATTCATTAGCTGTCGATTAGTCGATAAATTTAGTTCCTGATAATCTAAAACGTCCTGTTTCAAAAGGTTTCAGCCAAATTTGAAAAGAGTTAAGAAAACATATGAAAAGTATAACTAAGTTGCAGAACAACCTATTAAATATGAATGGCGAGAATGTTATCTATTTACCATAATATAATTACTGTCTTAAATTTGTGCAAAATGATGCTCTTGTTGATGTAATGAAAGCTTTTCTGGCGAAATATAGTATATTTTATAACTTGTTCTTGTATTTAAAATGCTGAAAAATATTTAATTGAAAGTGCCTATTAGTTATAAAATAAAACATTTATGAAAAATAACAATAACCAAAGAGGATATTTGTAAAAGGACTGAAAACAAAACTTTTATTATCACATTCAGTACATAATGATGGTATTGTACATACGATAATGTCACATAAAATACTAGAAAGAAATAACCTACATAGCTCATTGTATTAAATATTTTTATTCTTATCATATCAAAGATTTAGTGAGAGAAAGAAGTTACAAATGTGATTAAATTGCTAATTAGTTTTTAAACCTAATCATTTAATAAGCACAAACCAAGGTTGGTGGTTATCAACGTTAGAAAAGAACATTTATTGAGTAGCTTTATAATACCATTAATTAAAATGTAATTAATATAGCTTCAAAACAAGTACAGCTGTTGACTTCAGACAATAAATGAGTACTATTAGAAAGGACAATGCTTTAATTTCAGAACTATAATAGAATAATTCTCTAAAATAATTCTCTCATTTCAGCGTCTTTCTGGATGATATTTCTGGCGGCATTATGTGCCATAGTTGCGGCAGATGACAGTTGCCCAGCGCCAGAAGAACTGTCACCTTGCACTTGTGATGGAGAAGGTTTGAACTGCATGGGAGCTACGAGTTTGGCACAGATAAAAAAAGCCTTCAGTTCAAAATTCAAATACGGAGGTGTTCGATCAGTATGGATTCAAGGAACACCAATAACTCGCATTCCTGGTGACCTTTTTGGAGAAGTGAAGAGTCAACAGTTTTACATTGAAGTAAATAACATTACTGATATTGACGTGAATGCATTCGTAGGTTCAAGAAAGGCATTGCGCACACTAAGTTTCTTCGGAAATAAGATTGAAAACTTCAACTATCGGGGTCTAAAGATATACGAAAACTTGAGCGTCTTGAATTTGGGAAGGAACAAAATCAAGTCCATTCCAGATAACGCATTTGAAAGCAGAAGTCTGTATGCCATTATCTTTGCCCAAAATGAAATAAGTTATATTGGTAAGAATGCATTCACTGGTTTAACAAGTTTGGGAAGGCTTGAGATTGCTTTGAATTCCCTGGTAACCCTTGGAGACATGTCCTTTGCTTTCAAGACCCATTCGGAATCATTGCAGGTACAGTTTTATTTCTTAAAAAGAATTTACTTTAGAAGTTATTAAAATTAACTATAATTGAAAAACTTTAAAGCTTTTAAATTTTTAATTCGTGTTAAGCTATTTGTTGAATATTTTAATTCATGCAAACACAAAAGAAATTAAAATAATACAAACTTTTTCAAATGTTGAATCCAAGAAATGACTTTAATATCAACAAATTTTGGTAATGAGTAACACCATGTTAAATGTCAAGATATCCATTAGAATTATTTTAGCTTTATAAGTTTACTGCTTTTACCCCCTTTTTTAATACTGTGTCCGTCTATTCAAAACTTTATCTGAAAAGTCACTCCACGTGCGTGAATCTTTTAATAGCCGAATTTGGCTGTTATATGGTGCATAGAAGAACTATATAATCATCTGATACAATGTAGTTAGTACTATAGTGTAAACAGAGTAAAATTATCTTTATTAGGCGGGATATCACGTTTTAAATAACGAAGTTTGACCTTCTTTGATGAAAAGCAGATCCCTGACTCATTGCAACCACCTTATTTATGAGATTTCTCATCTCCCTGTGACCCTCCCTGTTCTTTATTGCACGATTGTTCTGGGGGGGGAGTTAACGTTTTCAAACAACTCAAAATTATCCGAAAGTGTCAGTCAGTCTGTGATAAATACAAAAAGAAGCATTCTGCTAGTGCTTTCAGGAATATCAGGAACACTGGAGCAAGTATGTGTTTTCCGGCGTATGTTACTTTGATGGTGGAGAGGTAATAATATTTTACATTTCATGTGCATTGGCCTAAGGAGGTATTCCGCGGAAGTTTTGAACATGGGCGTATAGTTGGCTCTCCAATTTGCATAAAATTGCTATACAAATAGCTTACGACAATTTTATTTGGTCAAAAGTTTAAGCGTTGTTTTAAAAAAACCGTTTAGATGCATTTAAACTATGATGAAATCAGAAACTGTAAATTCTGTTAATCTGTACTGACCATGGGAGTGCAAGTTATACATGCTTCAGTTTTATGAAAGATGCTTGTGTTGCTTAAATAAGAGATAGTTTTTATTCTTTTTAAATTACTTAGCTATTTATTGATACTAAAAAAAGCTAAATCGATCGAAGAAAAGTGAACATTAACTGTCTTAAATTGTCTGTGAAAAGAAAATTAATTGTATATTATGTCCTAACTCAAAAAAGCAATACTTAAAGATGATGTAATAATACGTATTCTCTTATTATAAATGGCAATTATTCTAATATCATTAAAATCTTAAGTCCGGACTGTCTGTTGGAAGCCTGAATATTACCCAAGCTTCCACTTCAGTTCGTATTCTATTTGTAGACTGTGTACAAACTGCAGAACATGTTTTGCTGATTTTTCAACGAACTCAAATTTAATAATAATAATAATAATAACAAAAGATTCAAACATAAAAATTTATTGTAAAACCTTGTCCTAAGTTCCATGCTAAATTACATAAAGATTCCTCTCCTGATAGGAGTTTCAAATGTAACTTCAAGCACATAAAATCTTAAGTTAATCACGAAAGAATTCACATATAGCAAAAGATGAAAATAGATCCGATCTGGAACCAGTTCCAATTCAGACTATCGGTTACAAGCGGAAATATCGTGGAGAAAAATGCAAGAGGAATACATCGCCATAAAAAACATCGTGAGAGAAAAGAAAAAAAGGAAAAAACATTGCAGCTGCAAAATATCGTGGTATAAAGTATTGTCGTATAAAATAAAGCTGTTCAAATATTTCGCAGTTTTAAAACATTGTCCTTTAAAATATAATGATAAAAACTAAAGCCTCTATGAATCATCGCAGACAGGTGATCTCAGACTTTAAAAAATTTAAATGCGTGTTCACATAATATTTTGTAAGCGCAAGAAGGAATCATGAATATTTTATCTCTATATTTCATATTTTAACTAATAAACATTACTGAAAAAGCAAGAGGGAAACTTAAGCTTGAAAACTGAAAATGAATAAAACGTTTATGTTACATCTAGTAGTTAATACAATTTTAAACTTATGTAGTTAACTATTAAAATCATTATATAATTAATCTAGCAGTACGGACATGCAAGTAGAAACTTTTAAATTATGAAAACACATCTGCGATTTATCATTGTGCGAGTATTTTTAGGTGCTTTATTTTTTACCATATTTTCTACGGTGATGTTTTAAAACTGCGGAATTTTCGAATAGCTTTATTTTCTACGACGATGTTTTATACCACTATATTTAATAACTGCGATGTTTCTTCCTTGTTTCCTTTTTACTTCCTTGTACGAAGTAAAAAGGAAGTATTGTAATCGCGAAAAGTTTCAGGCAGCATATTTCAACGAAAATATCCATTTTGACCTTTATCGAATGCAATTTAACGATGTTTTTGCGTGATATCTGTACGTAAGGAAAGAATAAAATACTCTTTTCCTTCAAAAAATTATAAAACTGCTTTAAAATTAATTCTGAAAATAATTTTTTGTGGCGTCTGTACGAATGTATGTACGTACGTACGTTCATGCGTACGTACGTATCTCGCATAACTCAAAAACGAGTAGCCTCAGAACGTTGAAATTTTGTATATAGGACTGCTATAACATGTAGATGTGCACCTCGTATTTTGGTTGCAATCGGCCGCACCAAACGTATATAAATATATTATATATATAATCCACTCTATTACCCGGCTCAGTGATCTCAGTTTCATTACTCTTATATGTTTGTAAATTGTACATTTTTTGCTTTAAAAATGATTGAATTATGTTGTTTTTATCTTTCGGTTAAGGATTTTATGCCTTTAGTAAATCTGTGTGCAATATTTTTAGAATTATCAGCAATTTTAAAGTTGTTTAATTGCTGCTAAGCCTGTTTTTAATGGCGGCCATTGATGTTTACATTTGAAACAGGAGACTAGGGGATTTGTTGCCAATCTAGAGAAACTTAGCTTCGCAACAACAAAGATAACGCATTCATTTATTATTGCCAATTAAATCATGCTTAATTCTTTTTGAAATTTTTTCGAGGAAATAAGCGTTTGAGATTTACTTAGTAATTTTTAATATATATATTTTGAGTTTTTATGTATTTTTGCCTTCTCGCGAAGTGAGAACTGAATTAATTAAATGAGAAATACTCAAGTCTGTGAAAAAACTGTTTCTTTTTTTGTTTTGTTGCTGCTAGGGGGGGGGGGGGGGGGGGGGGGGGGGGGGGGGGGAGGGGGTTTCTTTATAATCATTATAAGCTTTATTATAGTATTTGAATAGAACATGTGGCAACGATTAGATAATTCTATTCTTTAAATGATATAAATTTTGTGCATTATGAGTTATAATATGAGCGAAATATAATACTGTTAAGTAAACCTTGCGCCAGAGTGTCGCTATGGTAAACAAAGTGAATTTTAAAGAATTCATTTATTTTATTGTGGTTTATGCGCTGTCGGCGAAGTAGGTTTAATTCAATCTAATAAGTTTAAATAAAATGCAAGAAAAAATGCGTATAATTTAATATTCCGTACAAGGAAGTTATGTGGTGTACACATCAGATTTTTTTTCTATAATATGTTTTACCGTTGCCTTGTTTTCTCTGAGACGTTTTCGTCCTCGATATTGAACCCCAGTCGTTCACCTACTCAAAGAGTAGATAGTTTCAGATTCATTCCTTAGTTAGGCGATTCATTAAGGGTGTGTTGCATAAGAACACCTTAGCAGTAAGCGAACAGCTGCAAATTTCCAAAGCTAGCTAAAAATTTCTCTTTTGGAAATGGTTCTAAGCATTTCATATATAGAATATTTCCTTGCGCTGAGTTCTTTTTTAAAAAAATGACTTATCTGTCAAAAGATAAAAAATTTGGGAATAATAGATCGTGCTGTTAAAAAGTAATAATTATTATTTTCCACTTATTAGGTAAATAGAATATTGTAATATAAACAACCTAATAGTTGTGCTAATGGCTTAATAGTACAAAAATGATTCATTATGAACGTAAATTTTCTGCCAGAAAAAATTAAATTTGTAAAGCTAATTTATGTGAGTATGAATTTTGTTTAGTAATTTCCTTTGATATTAATTCTTTATTAACTGGTACATTAATAAAGAATTAATACATTCATTATAATATTTCTTTTTTATTGAAAATACTTACACAGAGTTGTTTTATTATAATCCATTTCAAAATTTCAGATACGTTAATAATTATAATATACTTAACTATGTACTTACAGCATTGTAAAAAAGCCTTTTTTTTTTGGTTTGGAGGAAATAACAGCAAAGCAAAATAAAAAGTAAGCTGTTAAAAGTTTATATGTTTGGAAATAAATTTAATTCTCCAAAGGGTTGCACCACACGAAAACCTACAATAAGCTAATATGTCATCGTCGTATACAAGTACACTTTCCTATTCTTTTCTTTCCATGTATTCCTTCGAAATCACTACTGTCTCATAATATAGCAATATTGCTTAAATGAGTGAAATAATGCCATATAAATCAACATTCTTTCAACTTATTTACAAATAACATTACGGTTATCTAATAATACTTTATTAAATACGAAGTTTAGCGTTTTCTGTTTTTTCCCCCCGTACATAATATGACTTTATTGTCACAGTGTCCTACTGTCTCTTTTTTATTCTAGATCAACCTTTCTGCAAACAAAATACAAGAAGTCGCCGCTTCAGCCTTCACTGGAGCAAGTCCATATGCTGTATTTATATCCCAGAATCAGCTAAAATCTCTGGATTACGCTGCTTTTGGAGGATTGGTGACAAGAATAGCCCAGAAAGGCGGATTCCTTGAAGTTTCGGGTAAGCCAATAATTAAAAGACGTTTCATGTCAATTTAGTTTCTAAACAATGATTATCGTAGCGAATGGACTGGGGGTTTTTCGTAGTGTAACACAAATACGAGTAAGTTTCCCATAGAAAGTTTTCCGTAAAGGCAATCCTCTCATTAGATAGGTAATTCTCGAATGCTTTGGTTAGCCAATTAAATAAACTGTAAGATTCTAGCTAAATAAACTTTAATTTGTTGGCTAGATATTTACTTGAACTGTGAAACGACTAGTCTCTAAGTTCAAACTGTATCAATGACAAGACGTGAGAAGGGTGAAAAGCCACTTTTATTCAACATAAGAAATAATTTACAGAACACTGTCCTGGTGTTTACAGACTTAGCCAATATTTTGGTTGCAACTCAAAACAGAAATATAAAATTAAAACTTATAAGGTTTTTCTCCCGCCTTCTCGTCAAGCCTTCGTGATACAGTGGTCTGCACAGCGCGTAATTGAGAGATCCGCGGTTCGATTCCCGGCGAAGGCGTTGCATATTTTTCATCTTGCCTGCTTCCAAAAAATACCTAATGTCTCTACAGTGGCACCCGAACTAAAAGGGGGTCGGATGATGATTCTCCTCACACAGGATTTGGCAATTGGGTTCCCTAAAAAACCCCAGTCGCCCTTTGAAAGGGGGAGTGTATAAGGTATTTCTCTCGCCTTCTTGGGGAGCCTTCGGGGTGTAGTGGCCTGCACACTCAGCGCGTAATTGAGAGGTCCGCGGTTCGATTCCCGGCGAAGGTGTTGCATATTTTTCATCTTGCCTGCTTCCAAAAAATACATAATGTCTTGTTATGTAGAGAAATTATCTGATAGCGTTATAAAAAATTAGGTTAATGATTTTATGATTTATGGAAATTTAAATTTTATTTTGATTCTGAATTATTTAATTTAAGGGGCTTTAATTTTGGGGAAAAACGGATGCTTCTGGGAAATATTATTTAGTATAAATGAATATTATTTATTTTCTTTTATTTGCAAATCTTGTACAAACTTTTATTCATTGTGAAAGAAGGCAGGGGAAAGGGAGGCAATTTTCGCCAAGTCATGATTTCGCGCGCTTTAGAATGTTCGAGAAAGAATTTTCATTGTTAGTTGACCTTAAGAGAGGAAAGTACGTGACGGAAAGGTCAAAGGTTGCTACTTGTCTTTTCAATGTAAGTCATTCAGGTTTTTGGCGATTGAGGGTCCGGCTGTTTGGCTAAGTGAAGAAGGGCGCGCATGCGCGATCACCCTTTTTTCCGCATTCTGGAGTTGAAAACGAAGATTTTGCCATAATTAAGGGGGCGATAAGTTGAAGCCATAGTGGGAGCCCGTTTGGTGAAGGAGAAGAAGGAAAATTTGAGTTTGGAATCACTTACTTTTGGCTGACTCTCGGACTGACTCGCTGATTTTTGGGCTTGCTGGACAAAATGTAAGTGACTCCGAGAGGTGTTTTCCGGCGGGGAGCGGCAAATATGCTCCCCGGCCGCGTTTTTTAAGAGGCGAGACTCTCTTACACACTTACTCTGGACTCGCTTAGGCACTCACTGCTTGGATTCGCTGACTTTCGGGCTTGACGGACTTGTTGACGGAGACTGAGAAAAAACTTGTGGGTGTTGCGAAGGAGAAAGGAAAGATTTAGTTCGGCATCGAGCAGTGCTTCCGGCGGGAAGCGGCAATTATGCTCCCCGGCCGCGGGTTTTCTCAAAAATGCGAAGAAAAAAAAAACTGTTGAGCGAATAACAAAAAAAAATTAACAGAGACTTGGGTCTCTATCTGTATCGGCAAAAGTCAGGACGATGTCCTCTGAACTCCGACTTGAAAACAGAAGGAATTATGTCACCTTAGACAACTGGAAGCCTGAGTTAGCCGTTCTCTAAAATGCCTAGCTTAATTGTCTACGTTTTCCTTGGTGGAGCTGAGAGTCTAGGCAGACAGCCGTGCGGTGCAAGCTGTTCTCTTGCTTCCAGTGGGAATAATTTTCTTCTATGGAAACCAGTAGCAGGCGTAAGATTTGACGGTATAGCTGATGTAATTTATTGTCGTGCCGTTCGAGTCTCTGTCTTGCGGATTTGCCAAGTGACGTAAGGATAGAGCTAAGATATGAGCTCTCCTCCACTTCAAGAGGCCCACACCAGATAAGTTTTTTTTTTTTTTTTTTTTTTTTTTTTTTTTGTTTGAACTTTAAATCCTCTCACGGCAAAATTTAACATTGGTGCCAGATATCTTAACAGATAAGTTGTATAATATATTTTTTTTTTTTGTGTTTATTCGGTCCTCTCACGAAACTCTTTTAATATAACATTGGTGCCGTGACCTCTGCTTAGTGAAGGATCGAATCAGTAATTGATTTTGAATTTACCTATTTTTAGTAATTTACTGTTTTAATGAAGTTGTTAATACAAGAGGATAAATTTTGAGAATCTTTGTGAATTTCAGGAATTTAGGACTTTAACGTTAGGCAATCAGAATTGAACTTTAAAGTTAGGAAAAATGTATATTTTTAATGTAGGAGAATAGGTACTGTACATTCTTACTGTTGAAAATCCTTGAGTGTTTTCTAGATGTGTATTTTTGATTTTCGACGTACTGATTTATGATACAAGATGGAAAATGAATTATTTCACGATAATCCTATGCTATTTGTATATCCTTGTAACAAGTTTCGAGTGCTTGTCTTTAAAAACTGGACTCATTTTTTGAGCACTTCTAAGAGAAAGAGATTAAAGACTCTAATTATTTTACTGAATGAGACAAGCCATAGCTATGCGTAGCTAGAAAAAAAATTTTTTTGTGTGTTTTTGCTACTTATTTAACCTAGAATCTTGTGAAATGTGTAATTGTGAGGGGTAACGTTAGAGAAATTGTGATTTTTTTGAATTAATTGAATAATATTTTGTGAAATGTATGTAATGTTTTCATGATTATCTAGTTTACCAAGTAGTATATTATTATTTTTTTGATTACATTGTTTTTGATATGATTCCAGTATATTGTGTAATGTGTTAGAAAATTTAATTTAGTATTGAGCAATGAATTTTATAAGTTCTGAAGGCATAATGATACAAATGAATGAGTTAAAAATTGTAGATTGTTTTTCAATTGCCAAATTCTGTTTTAAGTTAACATGGGTTAGATTTGAATTTTTGCCTGAGATCAGCAATAGTGATGTTTGCATATTTAATTTTTTTTTTGGATTGAATTCTTCAGCTTGAGTGAAGTTCTAATTAGTTTAATGAGTCAGAGTAATGGAGATTAGTTATCTTCTGAATTTTAAGTTGGTGAATAGTTGTCCAGTGAGAATTGTTTAAACATTAGAAATTGAGTTAGTCTTGTGAACTTGTAGAAAGTGAATTTTAATGAGAATTTTGATGACAACGGGAATTTGTTTTGTCAAAATTTTTGAAGTAAAGTTTGGAGAAGATTAATTACTTTTGTTCTGTACTCATGTGTGGGAATTTTCTGTTGATTGCAAGTAGTTTGTCTTGAATTTACTAGTGGAATCGTAATAGATTTGATTTGAGTTATTGAATTTTCTTTCTTGGTTGGACTTGTTGCTGAATTTGGGGTTAATTCTTGTTTTGGCTTAAGTTTTGTATTTGAATTGGTAGTATCAAGATAGTTGTATCAGGTTTTTGTTTTGTTTTGGTGGTTTCTGCCAAGGTCCGTAAAATGTAAGTTCTCTGATGTTTGGTTTCTGTGGAAGAATTGAGATTTCTGTGGGTCATAGGAAAATAGTAGAATTTGAGATATGGATTTCATTTGTGTGATTTTTAGGGATTTTTGAGTTACGAGTTATGAGTATTTTTTTTTAGTTTTAGCACTTTTGAGAACTTTGCATTTGTTGCTTGCAGTTAGGTCTTGCGTGAAGTTTGTAATGTCCTGAAAGCTCGTTTTCTTGTAAATACTTGCACTTCATGGTGGCACTTGACCTCTTACACAACAACCGGGAGAAACAGGAACTTGTTATCTGAGAAAACTATTGTTGTATCTTTTCATTGTGTTGGTTCAGGATTGTAACGTTTCAGTCAGCGCACTTTTCTTTCCGAGATTAGAGATCTTATGTTCTCTTTCAACGTGTCTGGAGGGTTTGCTTGATACGTAAAGGTTTGAGGTCTGTCATTCATAATACAGCGCTTTTCTCAGCTTACATGGACGCGGTAAAGAGTTACTTTGTTTCTTTTGTTTGGGTGGAGGTGTTGCTGAAGGGCTGCTACTTAGGTTACTATACAACGTTTTGGAAGAGTCTGATGCAGAATAGATCTCAGTTTTTGCCTAAAATTGGGGGGTTTGTTTTGAACACTTTTTGATTTTTTGTGATATTTTATTTAGTGTTCTAGTAACGTGCTTCAGTCCAGCTTTGATTGATTTTCTTTGACTAGGTTTGAATTTTTTTTCTCGTGGACTTAAGGGATTTTTAGAATTACTGAATTTTTTTTTTTTTTTTTTTTGTGTTGTCTTACTTAAGGGGACTTAAATTTGGTGTTGTTACTCACTAGTGTTTACTTTGAGGTTTGAAATTTTTTTAGCGACACTTCACTCTTGCTGGTTGATTTTTTTTTTTGGCTTGATTTGAATTACAAGTGAAATATTTTTGACTTGATATGGTTTAACGTAATGACTATTTGTGTATTTGTTTAGGTATTGCAGTTTAAAATTTTTTTTTATAGTATCACTGATCTCATTGCTCATTTGAATTATGTACGAAATTTTTACAGTTTAATTGTATTTTCATTTTATGTCTATATGTGTATCTTGGTAGTATCTGTTTTGTAATTTTTGGCCAAACGTTATTTTGTATATGCATTAGGTTGTATTATTACTATTATTTTGTGTGTCCTTGGATAAAATTCTAATTGGTATTTGCACAGCGTATTCGTTATGTTATTCTCGGAATTGATTTTTGGTTGGATTGAATTTTTGGACAATCACGTTTTCCTTCTTTCTGATTTTTTTGTGTGGGGTATTTTCGGCTGGTTCCGAGGTTCCTT